GCCTGCCAGTTACCCTCATCAGCTTTATAAATCTATATCCATCCCTCAGTATGCGAGACGGAAAAGATTATTTAATTTCAATTTCAGATTTCTTTCGGTTTGAAACCCAGTCTTAATGATACAATGTTATTTAATCAGATTGGTTTGGTTATTCATTTCCCCTCTTGTGTTTCTTTTTTTGAAGTGATCCTTCACATACGTATTTGTTTATCCTTTGAAGGTGAAATCATTGTTATGAATGTGTCTTTAATCTCACAGAAATATGGATTTCAGCACCAGGAGCAGCTTTTGTTCAGCAAAGTATGAGCTTTGCTTGCTTGGTGGTTTTCTTTCCATCTCACAACCAGTTTGGTGGCATCTTACAGGCATTAACTGTGCATTAAGTCCATGTGCTAAATCCCTGTGAAATTTCAGTTGAAACATCAAAACCCCATTTGGGACCTAAGGTCCAGAATCTCAGAGGTATTTAGGCATTTCTGCAATTCAGCAGCAAAAAGAGCTACCGTGGCTCTTGGGTGTAAAACAGTAGAGTACTGGACGAGAGCAGTATAATTAAGAACTTTAGTACTTATATCAGAACTTTATTTTTGCCCCTAGTGGTATTGATAGGGCGGAGGGGACCTCCTCAATAACACTTCCCAAATAATAAACTAGTTGCAGTCTTGTGGTTCTTTGTTCCGTTGTGTTTGCAATTAGATGAAGTTTTGTTTTTCGTTTTTAAAGCACGTTAGATTCCTTTTCCGTTATCATAGTATAATGGAGAGTTAGGGTTATTATGCTGCTGTTACTTTGCATTTCTTTTGAATGTTACCTTAGCTGTTAATTTTTTTGATTTTATAATGATTGGCTTGGAGATTATGAATTGGAGATAATTACAACATGTCAGCAATGCTGTTTACCCTAAATTAGTGATGAATACTCTCAGCCATAACTCATTTTAATATAACTGGGTGTGGATGTATGATATTAGAAAGAAAAACCTCTGCTTCAAATTTTAAAAAGCATAGTTTATGCAAGATTTAACAGGCTATGATGTTAAATGGGTATATTCTCCTCCATGCCTCAAACTACTATTTTCAAAGCTTTACAGCAGAGGTTTTTTTCCCTTTTTAGAAAGGTCTTCCAACTTACAGAAAGCTTGAGATCAGCAGGACTGTGGTCTGGAGTGCTGGAAGCATTTAGCCACAGGTTGGTCTGCAAAATAGCAACAGTCTTGTTTGAAAACGTATGGGTACTGTGGTTGGCCACTGGATTTTCCTGTGTTCGCTGCAGGTGGTCTTTTCGCTCTGTGTATCTTAGAAGGACAAAGGTGCGAGTGTGCTGATCTGTTTGCTGTATATCGCACGTTCCACTTGCAGATAAACGGCAAACACATCTCCCTTCTTCTGGAGGTATAACAATGGGAGCAATAGTGAAGGCCTTGAGTGATGACAGATAAGTTTCATGAAAGGACCTTTTAGCAATAGTGTTTTCGTGAGTGAAGGATTTCTTTCTCAAGTAATTTGGTTTGATAAAGGAGGAATCGCCTTTTCTCAGTGCACAGTATGCAGGATTCATCCAGGCAGCTCCTAGCCTGCTGAGAATGCATTGGTGCAGGCATGTCCTATCCTGTTTTGTAAAAGATG